TTTAATATATCTATTAGAACATATACTCAGTAAGTTTTTTTTATAGAAGTGCAATCTATCACAGATCTCCTGGGGGGATGGAAACAGTGTCAAGATTATGCATTTAAAATGAATCATGTCATGTGCAGTATTATAGTCACTTTCTATGGCAGATGTCAGGAAAAGGTGGTATTTTTATATGTATTCATATTTCAGGATGCCGAATGACCTATTTCTAAATTTATATAAGATTTTTCTAATGTAAGGATTGAATTATCTGCCCCAAGGGTTAGTGAAACAGCAAATATTTGCTTTGCTTCAGGAGAGTCTAACTAGACTTGACATTGAAGGATGTTCTTTGATACCTTTCTTGGGATGTATTCTACTGGATTGTTTCTGGGGTTTTGTTTTGTGGCTGTGTTTTGGTTTTGGGGTTTTTTTTGCTTTCTGTGCAATGGAACACACAGGATTTTCTTTCATCAAGTTGATGAACATTATACATGATAAGCAACCTGGTGTTAAATGCAGTATGTTTGTTGTTTGTCTAGCTTTTTCCCTTTTCCTCTCTTTGTCTTTCTTGATTAGACAACTAGGAGAGTTTTGTTTGAATTACATTTTCCTTTTTCAGGTCACTGAAATAGCATGATTAATTGCTACAATAGCCTTCCTAAGGAGGCAGGCTGAATGGGACTGTTTCTTTGCATCTCGGACTACTTCAGAGTAGTATTTGTTTATGGCTGATGAAAGCATCTTCTCAAGAGAGGTTGTGATGTGGGCGAGCACTTATCTGATGGAAGGCAGTTCTGAAATGCTTCCTGTTATTGTTAGTCTTCTTAAGCTGTTTGAACTTTTGCTTTCAAAGATAGATTTAATAACCTAGTTGTTTTAAACTGTTTTATGTTTGCTTCTGCAAGTTTCCTTTTGTAAAGAGAATAGCTAGCAACAGAGCAGAATTTGTGTGCTTTGACCTTGAATAGAGGGAATCTTATGGTAATTCAGGAACTGCAAATACTTGCCTTGAAAAGACATCTCCCATGCTTGTACATGGTGTATCTGTAGTCTATAAATAATTCTTTCCTATTTTGAGCCAGATGAGACACCGGGATAGATTAAAGCTGGCAAATTGAAATATAACAGAGAAAGACATGAAAGCAATACTTGGAAAAGACTATTGCTTTGTTTATCCAGGCAGACATGAGTGAATGTAATTTAATAATAGCTACAGAGCAAAGGTTTCAGCACAAATTCTTTTTTAATTCTGTGAAAGTCACTCAGTGTTGCAACTCTGATTTGGATTGCTCAGTTCTGTGCTTGCTGTTCCCACCTGACTCTCATCAGGCTTTCTGCTGTTCCTATTCTTCTATCCACAAAACCTTAATTGACTGCAGTTGTAGAATGAGATGTACGCTTCCAGTTTTGCCGCTCAAAATCTCTACAGTGTTCCTTCACTGCTGAATCAGCTCTGAAGCAGCTGTTAAGACTATTTTTCTTCCAGAACCATAGCAAAAATAATTGCCCAATGTTAATTTTTTTTTTACTGCAGTTTTACATATTTCTTTTCTGAATTTTGCTTTCTCTTCTTTTGTGAGATGTGGAAAATCTTGGATTTTTCTGTAAGCTTATTGCTTAGAGAGTTGTGAGAGATGAGACGTGATACTGAGATGCTGCTTTGAACCCTTGCAATTTAAAAGGTTTGAGGACAACCTGAGATGGTACTTCAAAATAAAAAAGAAGGTGTTACTGTTCTACATAATATCGTATGTTTACATTAGCTTTATTTGATGCAGAATAAGGCTCTCAGGAACAGATGATAAGTAGAGATAAGTGCTGTTTATGGGTTTAGGATGTAGTAGCTGTAAGTAATATTTCATATTCATGTATTCTTACTTCGTTAAAATGCACCTGGTGAGGTCATTTGCAGAAGTACTCTTGTCCTACTTTTGCAGCTGTTGACTTTATTGCAAAGAATTAGGACAATACTTAGCTGTACTGTGAAAATTACTGTCCTAAATTTATTTAGATTTGCCTCAGCCTCACACCTTTAATTTATCTTTTTGGAGTAGACCAAAGGAAGTGGCTTTGTGCTCAGAGAAATGTGGGAACAAATATAGTTCAGAGGCCATCCTGTGGCATGAAGAGGAGCAAATTGTAAAGAACCTGAAGCAATTGTGTCATGATGACCTCAAAACATCAACTTTAGTTGCAATCTTAGCTTAGTTAGCATAACACTGATTTTATGCCTGCCTTAAAGTTGCAATTGCTCTTGTACCTGGTGGCCCTAAATTCCATAGGTAATGTAAAATATCAGTTGCCCTCAAGAGGCCCAATCACTGCTGCTGGAAGCCAGAATGTGAAAGTCAACTTGGGATGCAGGATCAGTGTTTTCTCACCTTCCTGGAAGAATAAGTGACTTAATAGTTGAAGAGCAGCCACAGGGGTGTTTTTGTCTTCCTGAAGAGAATTTTAGAAAAGGAGCACAAAGTAGTTGCTGGAGCATGTAGCAGTTTTCACGAAGGAGTTGTGGCCATGATCATTATTCACATACACTTTCATGTTCAGATCTGGAAGTCTCAAGGTAATAAGTTACATTACTGGGAAACAGTAATAAAATAAAGCATTGTGGAGAGGGCATATTTCACTCCTGCGTTCTTCAGAGTTGGTAACAAAAGCCTTTCCTTCAGCCCATGCAGATATTAATTTGAAGGAATAAAGGAAAATTTAAAAGCCCAATTTTGGAAGCAGACTGACAAAATCCTTCAGGTGCTCTCTGCCAAATTTACCCCACCTGTCTCCTACTCCTGGTTTGTTAGGTAGTGAGTCATCTTCAGCTCATTTGAATTCTGGAAAAGTGCCCATCTCGCTCTTTTTGATTCCAAAAGGACAAATGACAATGCCTTAGGAGATCTTAAGTACTTTCTTAGGTGGTGTAAGTCTGTGTGTATATGATGTCAATGTTAGCATGTAGAGCAGTGCAGCAAAAGTGGATCCTTTTAGTCATCCAGTTAAAGGTGAAGAACCATCATCGACCCCTGGATGACACTAGTCAGGACTAACTCTAGTCAGGTGTTATAGGCTTAATGCTTTTGAGCACTGGATGCACTCCTGGAGCATATTTAATCCAAAAGGTATTTGGTTTCCATGTTCCAAGATTGCCCTGCAGTTGAAACCCAAATGGATTGCAGTGGGAGTGTACCCCTCTGCTCTATCCTAAAATGGTAATGTAGCCAAACCTTAACTTCATTTGGACTCCACACAAAAACATGATGATAGAAATACTATTGTATGGCTTCTCTTTGTGCCAAAGTCCATGAGACCTCTTGTTGTTTTCAGTTACTTGTCAATACACAACTATTGTGCTGTGTGTTCAAACAGACAAAGGGCACTGTGTATCTTAAATGTAGTGTGTCCTGGAGATATACCTGCAAGGTACTGATAGCAGTAATTTTCAGTGCATTTTGCTGCAAATTAGAGCCTGTTCCTTGCCACGAACTATGCCAATCATTGCCAAAATTCTAGATAGACACCAATGAAGGCTGTAACAAGGTGCTCATTCTGAATATGAAGCAGTGAAGAGGAGAGGTTATCTGATTTGCTCTGGTGGTAAGAGAATATTTCTAACTAGGTAAAGTAAATGCCATAGAGACTGTGTTTCAGGTGAAAAGAGGGCATGTTGATGGAAATGATACAGCAAACTATATTGCGAGAAAGGCAGTGTAGATTGGAAAAGGTCTGTGTTCAGAAGTTGGATGCTTCAGACTACAGCAGTAGGGAGAGAGGTTTTTTGCTGCAGTGTTGTCTTCATCTTAAATATAGCACCTGGTTTTAATTGTGTGTTCTGGGTTTGGTTTTTTGTCTGTGGCTTTTGATCTGATTTTTTTTGGTTGGTTGGTTGTTTTTTTTAAAAAGGGAAATGAGTTCTTAAAATACCCAAAGTGTTTTTACTAGGGATCTGAAAATGCTACTTCTCTCAGAATAGGTTTTTAAGCCTCTTCAAGAAAAAATGAATGGCAAACTTCAATAAACAGTGATCCTAGTTCAGGACTGTTGTGACAGTGCAAGCAAGAGAATTGTGAAGTAGTGCCTCCAGTTTTGGAAATGAAATTTCCCTTTTCTTTCCCTTACTTTCCTCACCTTTCTCATTAGTGGTTCTTGGACTCTTTCTAATTGCAAATTCCTTGCCTGAGACAATAAAATTCAAAGTGATATACAATTTATACAGGTTCTCTGCCACCCAAAGTTTTGGAAAGCATCACCCTCTTTTCATATCCTCTGCTTGTGTTTTTTAAAAAAATATGCAGTTACCATGACAACTCTTGCCCACACTAGAAATCTGTTATTGCAAGTTTCTGGCATGGCTTTTATTTGCATATGCTGCAAGAAGCACTGTTATTAAACAGAGTGTTAATTATTCTTCCAGTCACTGACTGAGACAACTGATGTGATAGTAGTTACAACTTTCTGATTCCAGGTAAAAGTAGTCGTGTACAGCTCTATGCAGCTGAATTTTCATGCTCACTACTTTTAGGTATTCCTCTTTATTTGTATAGAGGGTTTTTTTTCCTTACAACCTGAAACCGTGCTTACTTGTTTAAATTATCAAGGAACTGAGAAAAAGAGCTTTATTTTTGATTATACACCATTTTTTTAATGAGACATTTGTTTTCTTCTCATTAGGACTCTATTTTGGTCCATTTCATATAGGCATTTATTATTCTCTTTGCTTGTCTTTATTAATATCTTTTAATTAATTTAAATCTGTAAAAAAATGCTTGATACTGTACTTTGTCCTCTGAATAAATCACAGCAATTAAAACATGTTTAGGATCCAAAATTCATGTAATTCCTGTTTGAGACTTGCAAATTTATCTTGAAGTGATTGTTGAATTAATGTCTTATAATGTACAGCAACATGCTCATCTTGTATTACCAAAGGCTTTATTATGATTCATTCTGCAGGATGACAGTGGGTGACAGCATCTGATAACTTGGCTTTTTGTTTTGCTTTTCCCTTTTAGGATTTTCCATGGAATGCAGATCCTGCCACTGGACTGCATTTGGGTAAAGGATGAGTTCACTGTTTCTCTGAGGAGTCTTCCAACGCATTTTCTAAATTACCTTTTAATGGTATTCTAAGTGAGCTTATGTGAAACAAATAATTTTGGATCATGAGTGAAGAAAAAAACTTTGGTGCATCCCAGAAAATGTTGTCTCCTTCCAGAAGTACTAGCAGCTGCTCCTCCAAGCAGGGAAGTCGACAGGTAATACAAGCTTTTTTATCCAAACTGAAAGCATTGCTAAGATTGGCTGTTACTTTTGTTTTTGAATATTGGCAAATCTCCTAAACTCTGCTTTCCTGATGCTTACTTGCTTTATTTCATGACATCTTTACCTTCCTTACTCTCTTACTCTGAGTCAAATGCAGTAAACACACATTACTGAACAGCAGGCATGTGTAAAACTGGAATGCTAGCAGCAAATTTTGATTTCTGTCATGTTGTATGTATGGTGTTTTTATAGTGAAATAGAGCTTCTGTAGTGTCTTGGTCTCAGTGGTTTGATCCTGAAATGCCAAATCTTCCCTGTAAGATACTACTTTTGTGATAGAATATTTTGTAACCGCTCTGTTTATTTCGAGTTTCCAGGAAAAAGGTGTGCATGCATGTGTGAAAGATAATGCATTTTTCAGAAACCTGACATAGGCCTCTTTGAATGCCCATTTGTGCTGGTTGTTGCTGTAGATCTTAGATAGGAAAATAAGTATTCATGTAACATGATGCATCTGGGTGCCTAAGGTAAAGGTTGCTTTGTTTTCCGCAGAGATGGTGCTATTCTTTAAACCTCTCCATTTCAAAAGACATGTCTACAGGTGTTTGCACCTGACAGGTGAGGCTGCTTTTGTTTGTGGGCAAGAAGCACTGACCTGCAGCCACACTGAAAATTAAGCTTAAACATACTCAATCCATGCTTGCAAAATTGTGAGCAATATGCTCAACATAAACTTTTATCTTTGTGAGTGCTGGCTTAGTGGAGCTCTTGAAACTGCCTCAGGCTGAAATTTTAATTGGAATTG